CTGGTCTTGCTTCTGCTTTTTTGAAACGCCCGGCTTCTGAACAGGCTCCGCCCCCTTATTGACGTACTTCCGTGTCTACGCGTTTCTCCGTTCACAGACGGCTTCGTCAGGACGTGAAGTGCTTGATTGTTCCCCCTCTCTGGGAGCTTTTATATACCTTGCTTTACACACAATTAGTGCATTTGAATATTGTCCATATGTGTTTGGCATCCTTATCAATAAACATTGATTTATCTTATAAAACATTCTTTTTTCATTTTTCATTTCCATTTATAGCAAAATATACATTTAGCAAATTTTTTAATGCAGTACATTCAATATATATATGCAATAATACCAATAAAAAAGATTTAAAGATTAAAATAGTTCAACATAATCTATTAAATAGCCCTAATCATCTAACCACAATCAATAGAATACATCCAATAAAAGCACTTATATTTCAGTTAAAGATACCTAGTTCAAAAATAGAGAAAGAGAAAAGGAAACAACATATGTTATTGGTAGTCCATCATTATTACAGTGTAATTTCATCTTGTTATTTAAAGTGACACAATAGCAATGTCTTTTCATATTATACAGACAAAATATACATTAGAAACAAGTAGAATGTTCAATTAGTACATTAGTAGCTTATTTAAAACGGAGCCTGAGTGGATCTCCAGACTTATACTGATTTAAAGGACCATATCCCTCCAAAACAGTCTAGAGGAATATATCTCTCCAAAACAGCATAAAAATATATATATACAGTTACACCTCCAAAAAGTGTATTGTATAGAAATATATATATATAGAATCATAAAAAATGACAGATCTCAAAATCATTGTTCATTCCGTGAGGAATGAGAGTGTTCAACTCAAATATCCACCTCATCTCCATACGGCCTAAATTCTGGATCAAATTGCCTCCTCTCCAATTGTTATTGATCTGTTGGATCCCTATGAATTTTAAAAGGGATGGATCAGAATTATGAAACTCCTCAAAATGTAGAGACACTTGATGTAATTGGTATTTTCTCTTTATGTTATAGGTGTGCTCACATATTCTTGTTCGTAACTGTCTAGTTGTCCGGCCTATGTACCTCAAACCACATGGGCAAAGTAACATATACATCACATTCTTTGTTTGACATGTTATAAGTTCTTTTATTCTGTATGTTTTTCCATTCGCCACAAACTCTTTAATGCTTTGTTTGTTGCTGCCCGTATTCCGACAGGCATTGCAATAGCCACATCCAAAAAATCCCTTTAGTTGAATCATAAAGTTTGAATTAGATAGGTTTTTATTTGAGATATTGTTGGTCAAAATCATTTTCATATTCTCCACCCCTCTATGTATTATTCTTGGGATAGGAGGTAGGAATTTTGCTAAAACAGGATCTTTTAGTAACCAATAATTTTTCTAACTTGTTTATTCTGTGGTTCTGAGAATTGGCAAATGAAGGGAACACTTTCTTGTTGTTGTGTATTTTCTTTTCTAACTTTATGCTTTAATAGGCTGTCTCTATCAATACATTGAGTATCATCTATGGCTTTACATAAAGTATGGTCATTATAGCCTCTCTCTTTAAAATCAGATAAAATTTGTTGGCTTTGATGTAGAAAAATCTTTTGGTCTGTATAGTTTCTTTTTATTCTGGTTAATTGGCCTCTCGGGATGTTAGTGAGCCAAGGATTGAAATGACAACTACTAATTTCTATGTAGCTGTTTACGTCAACAGATTTAAAAAAGGATTTACCCCACACAAAAAATTTGGATAAATTTCAATTTTTTGTTGATTTGAATAGATTTACAAGAAAACTTTGTCTTAAGAAATATTTTGAGAAAAATGTAGAGACTCCCACAATTAAAGATGATCAGAATGAATTGACAAATGAAGGGATAACACATACTTCATTAAAAGAAAAGTCCTCTTTTTATCCTAAATGGCCAGTGTCTGAAGGGATGACTACCTTACAAAACATGGTTAATTCAGATATAGAGAGATTAAAATCATCTAATAGATTGGAATCAAATTTGACCCCACAGGAATATGTAGCATTAAAAGATCTGAGACAGGACACCAATATAGTCATAAAACCGGCGGACAAGGGGGTTGGGATAGTTATTATGAATTATGAATATTATCTAGAAGAATCAAATAGATTACTTGGAGACAGCTCTACATATAAGAAGCTGTCTCAAAATCCCACACAGGAAATAAAAAAAATTCCTTGAATTAATTGAGAAAGGGAGCAAGGAGAAGGTTCTAAATGAAAAAGAGAGAGAATACATAGAGATAAAATTTGAAAGGATACCAGTATTCTATTCTCTCCCGAAATTGCATAAAGATAAGTGTAAACCCCCGGGTAGACCCATAATATCGGGCATCAACTCAATCTCATGTAGACTTTCAGAGTATGTTAACCATCTACTACAACCTTTAGTGAAAACCTGTCCATCATATTTGAAGGACACAATTAGTATTCTACAGGAATTACAAAAGATTGAATGGAATAATGAGTGGCTCCTAGTTACAGCGGATGTAGCTGCTCTATACACTAATATAGATCATTGGCATTCAAGCTATAAAATATAATCTAGAACACAGGTCCCTATATTCGAATAATCAAATTCTGTTTATTTTGGTATCTATAGAATTTATTTTACATAACAACTTTTTTTGGTTCAATAACGATTTATACCTGCAGGTCTGTGGCACAGCTATGGGCACCAAGTTCGCTCCCAGCTACGCGAATCTGTTTATGGCACGCTGGGAGTCCCTCCATTTTGGAGGGGATAGTGGCTGGGAGACGAACTTGGTGCTCTATAGGCGCTACACAGATGACCTGTTTTTCATTTGGCGGGGAGGGGAAGAACTTCTAAAATCATTTATTCAGCAAGTGAACGCTAACCAGTGGGGGATCAACCTATCTTTTGATTATAGCAAAAAAGAGGTCAACTTCTTAGATCTTACTATTTATATAGAAGCTGATTCTCAGTGTGAAAATCGCATTGAACTTATGCAGCGTAAGTTCCGATACTCATAGGAAAACATTGAGTAATGTTTTCCTATCGGCGGTTTGAATACGCATTTGGTTTCACTCGGGAGCTGACGTTGGCAGGGGGAGGAAAGATCACCAGCACCGAGGGAGCCCTGCACTGGATTAAGGTAAGTGGCTGAAGGGGTTTGAACGGGCCACGAGGGGAGGTGGGGGACACACACCTTGTAACCTTTAATGCCAGGAATACATTTTCCACATACAGAACATGAAAAGGGTTTAGTTCTCTAATGACTAACAAGCTCTCCTTTCAGACAAAACATTTTCAACATTCAGAATGTGAGAAAGGTTTCTCCCCTGTGTGAGTTCACTGTTTCAAGGCTTGCTTTACTGACTTAACATTTTCCACATAGCAACCAAGCAATTTGGTGGGAAGTAGCAGAACAGTTACTTTCGGATGCCATAGTCTGAGGAGATGGGTTTTGAGGGACTTGATCTTCCAGAAATGTTTTCATATGGCTTTGGCTGCAACACTTGTTAGCTCTGAGTCCTGAGTGAAACTTATGAATGCTGTTGTTTGAGTCACAAACCGAGTCTGGGGTTAGATAAATAAAACTACGGGTGAAGAGGCATGCATACATTAGGTGAGAAAATTGAAACAATCAATGGGAGAGATTAGATAGGTGAAACTCATAAATGTGGAACATCAATTAAACAGACAATATGTGCAATCATTCTAACACTACCAAACTTAAACAAACATTAAAAAATGCAAGAGTTGTGCATGGAAGGTACAGAAGTTTTCAAATTTAACAGTAATATCACAGGGGAGGAAAGTAAAGAGCTGCTCTGTAGGATTAACACAATACCAATGCATCATTTACACATTGCTACTGTCACAGGTGGTATTTATTGTGTCAGCATCATAATAAACAGTATTAGTTTTATTCCCACGTTAATTCATTAACACATTATAAAAACTCTGTGTGAGTTCTCTGATGTCTAATAAGACATGAGTGAGAACTAAAACATTTTCCACATTCAGAACATGAGAAAGGTTTCTCTCCTGTGTGAGTTCTCTGATGTGAAACAAGGTTTGACTGACTGTTAAAACATTTCCCACATTCAGCACATGAGAAAGGTTTCTCTCCCGTGTGAAATCTTTGATGTTTCACTAAACTCGAGTTACAGGTAAACCCTTTCCCACATTCAGAACATGAGAAAGGTTTCTCTCCTGTGTGAGTTCGTTGATGTCTAACTAGAGCTGATTTATCGCTAAAACATTTCCTACATTCAGAACATGAGAAAGGTTTCTCTCCCGTGTGAAATCTTTGATGTTTCACTAAACTTGAGTTACAGCTAAACCCTTTCCCACATTCAGAACATGAGAAAGGTTTCTCTCCTGTGTGAGTTTGTTGATGTCTAACTAGAGTTGATTTATCGCTAAAACATTTCCCACATTCAGCACATGAGAAAGGTTTCTCTCCTGTGTGAGTTCTCTGGTGTGAAACAAGAGAAGAGTTATAGCTAAAACATTTCCCACATTCAGAACATGAGAAAGGTTTCTCTCCTGTGTGAGTTCTCCAATGGTTAACTAGATCAGAGTTACTCATAAAACATTTCCCACATTCAGCACATGAGAAAGGATTCTCTCCTGTGTGAGTTCTCTGGTGTGAAACAAGATAAGAGTTATAGCTAAAACATTTCCCACATTCAGCACATGAGAAAGGTTTCTCTCCTGTGTGAGTTCTCTGGTGTGAAACAAGAGAAGAGTTATAGCTAAAACATTTCCCACATTCAGAACATGAGAAAGGTTTCTCTCCTGTGTGAGTTCTCCAATGGTTAACTAGATCAGAGTTACTCATAAAACATTTCCCACATTCAGCACATGAGAAAGGATTCTCTCCTGTGTGAGTTCTCTGGTGTGAAACAAGAGAAGAGTTATAGCTAAAACATTTCCCACATTCAGCACATGAGAAAGGTTTCTCTCCTGTGTGAGTTCTCTGGTGTAAAACAAGAGAAGAATTATAGCTAAAACATTTCCCACATTCAGCACATGAGAAAGGTTTCTCTCCTGTGTGAGTTCTCCAATGACTATCAAGAGTTTCTTTAACACTAAAACATTTCCCACATTCAGCACATGAGAAAGGTTTCTCTCCTGTGTGAGTTCGTTGATGTCTAACTAGAGCTGATTTATCGCTAAAGCATTTCCTACATTCAGAACATGAGAAAGGTTTCTCTCCCGTGTGAAACCTTTGATGTTTCACTAAACTTGAGTTACAGCTAAACCCTTTCCCACATTTAGAACATGAGAAAGGTTTCTCTCCTGTGTGAGTTCTCTCATGTCTTACAGTGTGTGACTGTGAGCTAAAACATTCCCCACATTTAGAACATGAGAAAGGTTTCTCTCCTGTGTGAGTTCTCTCATGTCTTACAGTGTGTGACTGTGTGCTAAAACATTTCCCACATTTAGAACATGAGAAAGGTTTCTCTCCTGTGTGAGTTCTCTCATGTCTTACAGTGTGTGACTGTGTGCTAAAACATTTCCCACATTTAGAACATGAGAAAGGTTTCTCTCCTGTGTGAGTTCTCCAATGACTATCAAGAGTTTCTTTCTTACTAAAACATTTCCCACAGTCAGCACATGAGAAAGGTTTCTCTCCTGTGTGAGTTCTCTCATGTCTTACAGTGTGTGACTGTGAGCTAAAACATTTCCCACATTTAGAACATGTGAAAGGTTTCTCTCCTGTGTGCGTTCGCTGGTGTAAAATAAGGGCTCCATAGCTACTGAAACATTTCCCGCATTCAGAACATGAGAAAGGTTTCTCTCCTGTGTGAGTTCTCTGGTGTGAAATAAGGGCTGATTGACATTTAAAACATTTCCCACATTCAGAACAGGAGAAAGATTGTATGTTTACTATCTTCTTTGAAGACATATAGGATTCTGAAAGATTGCTTGAGTTTGGAGAGTTGGAATCTTTGGACTTTTTATTAAAATATTTCATCATCTTGCTTCATGTATTTCTGTTGTCCTCTCCTTTAGAAAAATTTCTGCTGCTGGAAATATCTGAAACAGAATGTACTGGGAGTTATAGAAAAATCTGTCTATAAATGATTGTTTACCATACTAAGAAAAACTGACTATTCATGAAACATTAGAAATATGACTATGAAACATTATGGCGATTAAGTAAAACCTTGAAATATATGTATGTGCTAATTCCTATTACAATTTAAAAATTTCATTTGCACACTTTTATTCACTTGACAAAATGTAAAATGACACTACGCATCACAAACACTGGGAAAATCATAACATTGCCTGGTTGGTTCCCAGACAAGCCATGTTCTGATAAAAGACGCTCCCTTACAAGGGGAACATTCACTTCATATAAGCCAGAGGGAGAAGACGTTGCTTATGTTGATACAGGAACTCCACACAGTGGACCGGCCACCAACTTCTTTCCCCCTTGGCGATTCAGCTACACTACACAGATTTGAGTAATATCTGCACTACTTGGGCATTCAAATCTGAGCTATCCGGGAATATAATATGGGTGTAGATTTTTTCTCTTACATCTACTCACTGCCTGACCAAACTGATTAGAATGTGACAATGTAAATACACTGATTAGAGAGAACACATCTCTTACATATAGAAAACAATGCATTTGGAAGGGGGGTGAAACTATATATCTATACTAACCATATAATTATGTTATTTTAATAATTTGAATATATTCATAGAGAGAACCTAATGAATAGATCACATTATTATTAAAACTAACATTCGCTGAATGTGTGTAAAAGACATGGATAAATCATATGTTATGACATATTACTATTATAGCAGCCTCATTACCATCTCCGTTCGGTTGTCGGTACCCTCCTTTCATTTGTTTCCCAAATGAAGACGAGTTCCCCTTTTTACTTGATGGACAAGTGGAAAACTAAATACAAAATATGGATACCGCACACCAAATTTGATGCTGGAAAAATAAAAATCAAAACAGGATTTAATTCATGTTCTGCACAAGGTTATTCATTAGTGCATCACTTCAATCAACACTACTGTACATCGATGTTTACAAAGAAAACCAAAAATATTCATATTCTGTACACTAAGTATAACAACTAAATTCATAAACAATGTCCAACCAAAGTCTGTGAATTAAAAAAAATGATAAAGAAATTCATTAAGATAATTCATTCAAGGAAAAATGTCCATATGTCCCGTATCCTGTCTGCATGAAAAAACAAAACTGTTCAGTAGATATGCTGAGGTAACCGCTACCATAGTCCACACTATAATTGTAAAATAGTGTATTGTATAATTGTAATGATGCACTAATGAATTATCTTGTACAGAACATGAATGAAATTCTTTGTTAAATGATCAGGACAGAAGGAGTTCAAGTTTCAGAAGGCCAAATAGAAGATGTACAGAAAAGCTACAAGTACCTGGGGGTACAACAAACGCATGGCAACCACGAGGAGGAGGCAAGGAGGATAGCAACATCCAAGTACCTCAAAAGAGTCAGACAGGTCTTGAAGCACCAGCTCAATGGCAAGAACAAGATCCAAGCCATCAACATATATGCCCTACCAGTCATCAGGTACCCAGCTGGAATAATAACCTGACCAAGAGAAGAACTGGTCACAATGAATGTCAAGACCCAGAAACATTTCAAAATGAATGGAGGATTCCACCTGAAATCCAGCACCCATAGACTGTACACCAGCTGGAAAGAAGGAGGTTGAGGCCTGATGAGTGTCAAGGCCACAGCACTGGATGAAACACAGAGCATCCACAAGTACATCACAAAGATGGCTCCCAAAAATGAACTGATGACGATGCAGAAAAAGAGGAAGTTTCATGGCAAGACAAACCTCTCCATGGGGTGTACCACCAGCAGATAGTGGATGTAGCTCACATGACAAAATCCTACTAGTGGTTGGAAAAGGCAGGATGGAAAGACAGCACTGAGGCACTAATCTTAGCAGCACAGGAACAGGCACTCAGCACCAGATCAATAGAAGCAGAGTCTACCACACCAGGCAAGACCCAAGGTGCAGACTGTGCAAAAAGGCCTCATAGACAGTCCAACACCTAGTAGCCAAATGCAAGAGGTTATCAGGAACAGTATACATGGAGAGACATAAAGTTGCTGGGATTGTGTACCGAAACATCTGTACAGAATATGCTTTGGACCTGACTAAGTGGAGATGGGAGATACCACAAAGGGTAGTTGAGAATGACAGGGTTAAGATCCTGTGGGACTTCAAGATCCAGACAGAAAAGCAAGTGCTGACCAACCAACCCAACACTGTGGTGGTAGACAAGGAATGCAAGACTGCAGTCGTGATGGATGTTGCAATACCCAGTGACTATAACATCAGGAAGAAGGAAAGTGATAACTACCAAGGACTGAAAGTAGAGCTAGGTAGAATGTGAAAATTGAAGACCGTAGTAGTCCCAGTTGTCATAGGAGCATTTGGGGCTGTGACTCCAAGTTGGGGGAGTAGCTTCAACAAATTCCAGGTGGGACATTTGAGATCGCTGTCCAGAAGAGTGCAGTTCTAGGAACATTGACAATAAGTTAATGCAAGTTCCACATAAATATGTAAGACGAGAACATGCTAGATAAAGGGATCCCTTCTTTATAAACAGTACTATGGTAGTTTAAGTAATAAGGTAATTAAGGAAATACATGTATACATAAGAAACCCTAAAATAAATCTGATACAAACTAAAATTGGTATACCTTACAATAATATGTTCTGAATACAGAATTTTTTAAATTTAATTTAATTGGAATTGTAAGTTTACGACTGCATGTGTAATCTATCACGAACATAGGAACCTACATTATGTCTAACTGTGTTTCTTCTGAGGGACAAAGAGTGTGAAATTTATTAACTTATTTAGATTTGGTTATGGTTTAGTTGCGTGTCCATATTTGCTGGATATCTATTACGTGTATCTACTACATCTGTTGTGTTCTGTTTTGTCAGATGACATGTTTGGTATTACAATGATTGCTGAGTTTAAGTTCTATGGGTTGTAATGAATTGGTGTGTTATGTGTTAATGTCTATTGTTTAGTTTAAATAGTAAAGTGAAGCATATTTGCAGGTCATTAACGCAAGCATTTAGTCTTTTTACGACAGGTCAAATGATGCTCTACGGTCAGCAAGAATAAAACCGCTGCATGCTATCACTCCAGGAGATTATTTAATAATATGAGACTTTGAGAAAAACGCTTGTTACATCTCATGTAATAGGGGCCACGCGAGTTTCTGCTGTTCAAATCGTGGATCCATGGTTTTGTAACGACACCCCAGGCATAAAAGGGGTTAAAAGCCGTTTAGGAGATATTCCCTTCCAGATACACAGGAAGCTACTGCAGAACACCAATCTCCAGAACTGGAAACACAAATCCACCAAACTCCCGAACCGGAACTGTAATGGATCACCTGGCACCCCGACTGGGTACCTCCGTTGAAGGATGCTCCTAGCACTTCTTGAGGACTCCATGCACTGCAGCAAACACCATAACCACGTAGACTCCTCCAGAGGCAGGAGGCAAGGCAAGGCAGGAACAAGCTCTTACAAGAGCTTAGTAGTGATTTAGCAAGGGAGTATGACCAGCATAGCAATCCCTTGTAGCAGATTCCTGGAATAAGAGACGGCACTCCAAATTGAGGGTGAAGTAGAACTGCCAGAGCTGTGGGTTTATTGTTCTTATATACACATTCTTACACATTAGTAACACGCACAGTGTTTTGTAAAACAACCAATAAACACGTACAATACACACACTTCCACACAAAATCCTCCCTTCTGCCTGTGACAATTACCTTACACAATGGGTTAATGTAATTATCACAGGCAGGAAAATATATTTTCAGAATCAGCATACTCCAAATACAAACATACGTCAAAATCATACAAATTGGTCCAGTGGTTCAAAAGTTAGATCGAAGTCCTTTGTGACCAAATGAAGCATGGCTTTTCTGCCCAAAACCGGTTCCACAGAGTCTTCTATCCTGGAGATAATTGGGAAGTAATTCAATTATCTCCAAGGACAGAAGCAAAACTCTATTAGCCACATGGTAGCAAAAGACAATAAAATATATAAGTATATATAACTGTGCAGCTATTGCATAAAACAGGTACATTCAACATATCCCCAGACAGCTTAGATCTGAGCGCACATTATTACAGAATGGCACTCAGATCACATACATACAGTTCAATTGCCATGGAGCCAAAGTCTTTCAAATAGTCTTTCGTTATACGAATGGGCTCCATGGCATAGCTATCTGGGGTATCACTGTTCAAATAGGGAAAGTACCGAGTGAGCC